CACGAGCCCCCAGCGTGAAGGAAAAACAGAATCTGAATATAGAAGGAAAAATAGTTGAAAAAAGTGAGAAAAAGCTGAAATCGGCAAAAGAAGCTACGTAGGAAAACTGAAATTAGCCCTAAAGAAGTAAAAATTTATCAACATTTTACAGTGTTTGCCCRTTTCATTCATTTTCAATGAGAAAAAAATGGCAGAAAGAAGGTAAATATCTCAAAAAGTATACATTTCTGTAGTATCAGGAGTCATAGCAAGAGTGTTCTGAATGAGTTGAATGTTTTGATGAATGAATTATTAGAATATCACCAAAATAACCATAGGGATTGATGCCAAAAAATGTACAGAATAAAAAATGGATCACAAATATCGAAATTTGCTGGAAAAAAATGAGTCCATAAACATAAACAATAACACCATTTGGTGATCCTGGTAACTAAAACAGCAAATAAAGTTCTTAAACTATCTTTAAATGGAAGTTTTCTAACACGTATCTCAAAATTTTCCCTGTTGCTATCCATTGCACCAGGAAATCCCTTCATATAATGTGTGTTATTGTAAAGCTACAGCGTTCATCTTTCAGACCAATAAAAATCCAGATTTTTTAAACCTGTACTTTTCATATGGTTTTGTTTTCCAATCAGGGAACCTCATTCTTTATGCTGGAAACTAAGCCTGGTGATTTCCACGATGCATTTTTCTCTTTGTTTCTTACCTCGTTGTGTTACTAGCCGCAAAAGCACCAGGAATTAAGTACATAAATTGCACAAACTTTAAACAACTTCTGTGGTGTTTATGTCTTAAAGCTTCTAATGTCACATTACCCAAAATGTCAACATCCTTCCACAGTTTTAGCTCATTAGTCACGCTCTTGGACGTTGTCCTTCAAGATTACCTTCAGCGCCTAATTACCCTCGGCGAATCAATCCCTTCYTCCACGGATGCGTGGACATTTACCAAAAAAAAAAGTCTGTTGGCTCATCCTCCAACATTTTAGCACACATATCAACCAACTTTATATAACTTATATTAACTGCTCAAATATCCTCCACACTTAAATGATTAACGAGCGTCACACTCTGTGTTAAACAAGCATGACATTACCAAGGGCGGCCAAATTGATTGCGAGTGTTGTCTTCGAGCGGCACTTAAATCAATCACAGTCACTGCCAAGAGTAATTTGTGCAGGGTTTTTTATTTTTTCCCCATCAAAGAGCGCCGACCCAAAGAATAAACAGAGGCCAGAGGAGGCACTTTCATGGCCGCAACGTCGTCAGAACGGGAGTATCAAAGCAAGACGTAAACACGCATCAAAAAGGCAGATTTATGCTAACCGCACCATGTTAACATGTTATCCTCTTAATGAAAATGCATGATTGAGAGTCAGATTAGTTGCGTTTTATGTGTCTAATATGTAGTGTATAAAGTCTTTAAAAAGTGTGCTGTTTGTGCTGTATGTAATTCAGGGATTAGATTTCCTATTTTAGCTGTAATATTCCAGCATCTAAACAAGCAGCAAAGGTCGTGTGTTGAGAAATCAGGTTACGTTATCTGTCTGAGGGTCCATCTCATTGTATCACAACCACAAATGGATTAAATTCATTTACACAGCAATTATAGTTTTATCATCTGATTACATGGCTTTGGGCTTTTTGCGTTTTAGTGAGGGGGTTGTTAAATAATTCAGATCAGATGAAATGTGGTCATGTTCGCTACAAAAAAAGAAAAAATGGAAGATAGTACCAGTATCGGACGTGCCCAGAAATTTATCATATTTGTTATCAGTATATTCAATTTTAGACCAAATTGCCACACATGTGGGAATACTCTTATTTGTTTTTTTATTATTATTTATGGTAAAACCTTGTTTTCCATCTGTTTAAATGAYACATAGTGTCAAATTTCATGTCTGGAAATGTGATCACCCTCAACTATACTGTGTTCCAGTTGCAAGCCAGATAATCGGTGGGATTTGTTAAATGTCATCATAAGCAGTTAAGCCAACTGTTAGTAATACAGCTAATAACAACAACCACAGGTTTCTAAAGATTTAAACACTAGAGCAACACTACCAAGGTTTGGTGCATCTCAATAGTTCWGGTCAAAGYTGAGTTGGTCCTCTGGACGATTTCTTTGTCGAAATGTTTTGTCTTTTCTCCAATTCTTCAGTCTGAGGAGTTCCAGGTACACTCAGCCTTATAATCAGTCCATGGTGGACAAACATGTTTAATGCTGACAATCAAAACTGTTTGTTCACATGCAAAGAGGAGCGTCAGCCTAACCACCGATCAGTAGTGCCCTGATTGTTGCCTGTTGTTCACAGACGGTTAAGTCACACTCACAAAAACAGCATTGTAAGAGGTGGACAATTGGACAMTGTTAAACTTGYTGATCCACTATGCAAAGGTATTACTTATAAGACTGAGTTTACCTGCAACTCTTCAGACCAAATAAGTCTCTTAGAAAAAGACAAAACATTTCAACGATAAAAGAACCCATYCAATGTTTTAGGTTTGGTAAAGATCTACGTATGCTACAGAGTTAATGAGATACAAAAAAAAAGAAACTCAAATGGCCAACCCTAAAAAGTTGGTTGCCCTCCACTGCCCCACTTTGGCCAGTTTTATCTGCRTCCAGAAGCTTTTGATTGGAGAGCTTTTTTATTTACCTCTAGCTAATAAGGATTAATAGAGCCTCATAAATATAAAACATTGTTTTTGAACAATAAGGAGTGGAAAATATAGATGTATAATTTGATTTAAATTGAGTCACCATGAATACAGACAACCAGTCTAAACATTTTGCTCTCAACTCTCTAAGGCACCTGGGAGCAAGTAGAGGGTTAAGGGTCTTGCTCAAGGGACCACAGTGGGGCAAATGAGGGTGAAGGCAGGTGTGGTTGCTTCACTTTTCTTWCCATAGATTCAAACCTTTGACATCCCAATCACAGACTTACCCTCTCCAACCTGTACACCTCACCATTAGGGMTGCACAATATATTGAAAATTTATCATGATCACAATGAGAACCTGTGCAATAAACTATATATGCAATATAATTGCTTGGCTTTATGCATTTTTCCAATCACATGGTAACTTGAAGTATTTCRCCAATCAAATGGAGCMCTTTGTGTATTTGGCTAATCTGATGGATCTCTTTACATTGGATGCTCATGCCCTATGTAGACGCAGGTGGATAGCAAACAACTGAAAAAGCTTAGTGAGAGTCAAAATGGCTAAGAGAAAGACAATTAAGTGAGGTAAATGTTAGCAACAGAGAACTTGTGGTTAATAAAAAGCACGTCTTTTTGGAGATATTTTGCTCAATAAACACAGGTACTTTGCAAGACGTGCCGAAAGTTTKTTGTTTCACTGCTACTACTGTAGCTGTGTCTAGTTGCATATTTTTAATATAAAACGATTACATTGGAATGGAAATGATCCATTAGTTATTCATTTATCGCAAGTCATATTGTCATTGCAATATTAAGCCCTGTCATTGCACATCGTAGGTTTTCCAAATATCGTACAGCCCTACCCACCACCACTTCTACAGTAGTGCACAGAGGGCAGTCCTTTGAAATTTTGTCAAACAGTTCCAGTAAAAACGATTCACAGCCTAATCCAAAAGTTTCAACAAAGTTCTGGTCCTGTAGTTTCTGTTTAGTGACAGACAAGATGAGCCACAAACAAAACCCCACCTTTGTGAATGAGTTTTTATGAATCCTCGTCTTAATTATTTTTTTTTATTATTTCTCCCACAGATAAGAACCTCCCTAACAGCTCCAGCGTGGAGGTGGAAGTGACCCCACCCATGAACGGAACGGTGGGGCAGGAGGGAGAGACGGTAAGAAATGACTTTAGGAATGGTTGTAACAAAGTTGTTAAACATAAAAGAAGAACACTTGCTACAAGCTAAAAGAAGCAAAAGGCAAAATAAAAGCTAAACGCAGACCAGAGATGGATGTTAAGCACAAAGTACGCAGACGTATTTCAATTGCAAACAAAAGAAAAAAACGAGAAACATTATAAATGCTGAATCAGCAGTCAAGCTTGTATCTCAGCTATATAGAGGTGTTTTTAAATATTTCATGACCTCTTATTATTTATGTTCCTCTGAGTTTGACCGATGCAAAAGTCTGCACATATTGTGACAGGGAGGCCACTACTGCTGGTATTTTCCCAGCATGCACTCTGAGCGAGCTCCTCCATCTGCAGCCAGACCTGCCAAAGATACACCTCCTCCTCCCACAGAGCTCTATAATCGCACACTCTTTCACTCACCTGCTGCTTCCCCTCACACACAAGACCGCCACACAAACCAGTGCCACGACTTTGACGAAAGGCCCGACTCAGCGCGGCACCTGCGGCAGTTGTGCCGGCGTTAACGACGTCAGCGGGGGGCACAGCATCCCGCCGCTCCAGCAGACGGTCCTGGCACGAGCCGGGAGGAGAGTCAAAGTCACGCAGACTGGAGGGGAGCGGGCAGAAGACGGGCGGGTTGGAGTTTCACCCTTCATGTGGCGCAGACGAAGACAAACTGGACCCTGCCAGAAGATGGGTTTAGAACAGAAGTTTTATTTTTAGTCCTTTGAAATTATTTATTCAAGAAAGTTTGTGTGGAAATAATTAAAGTTCTTGAAGTAATGTACATTGTTGCTACCTTGAAAGTCGAAATTTTAAAGAAAATCCACACAGTCCAGCCTGGAAAAGGAATGCACAAACCAGCTTTTCTGCATCATATTTGGACAAGATGTTTGTAATTTTAGTGATAATGCACAACAAGAAGAAAGTGGTCCTTGTATTTTTAACGTGGGGGTTAAATGACTTGAAAATAATGGAGGACCAGTGGTGGGCACAGCTACCAAAAAGTTAGCTTCACAAACCACTAATCCGCTAAACAAGAATCTTAGCTCTGCTAACGTAAATCCGCTAAACAGATAAACAATAAGTGGAAGCTAACGCTAACCGCTAGCACAACTAGTGAGGACTGATGCAAACCTGTTTTATTTTTTATTTTTTTGGTTTAATTTGAAAGTGAGTAGGCTCATCTGTGGCAAAACGCCCAATCCAAAACAGAGTTATGGCTCTGTCTAACTAGATACTTCCAGRCACCCCTTTCAGAATAAAAGCATTTCTTTGATTGAATTTGTATTTTTATAAATGCAGTTTGAAGTTGGTCAAACAACAAAAAGCAAATACTTTCTCTACCATATTTTATTTCTTTTTGTCGCTCTTAGTTTGAAATTTAGCTGCTAAAGATGCTACGTGCTGCACACATTGCCKGATACGTCCATTGCTTCTTGTAAAAAGGGATCATTTTTATTTAATATATAATAAATTGCATAAAAATAGAGGTTTTATACTTGCGCACTTTTTTAGTTGAAATAAAATTAGCAGAACCCAATTTAGCGGGAGCTAATTTGTCTGCTAACGGTTTCCAAAGTTAGCAAAAACTGAATTAGCTAAATGAAAAGCTAGTTCCGCTATTGGTGGATCTGTTACCACAACTGTTGAGGACAAATGAGGCAAAATTTACATTTACATTCTGAAGAATCTCCAGTATGAAAGAGTGATTTTCATAACTGCAGTATTTTTGTAGTACTAATTATGTTGGATGATAATCAATTTTATAATAAAATAAGTAAAACAATAAAACCTGATTAGGATTGTCAGGATTTCGTAGGAATATTTTTTTATACACTACAAACGTAAAAAAGGATCATCAGCTTTTGACTTATAAACATCTAAAGAGATTTAGGGGGGAAATGACACAGTGTCTTGTGAGTTTATTAGTGACACAACTTAAGGCTGTATTTGTGTTTCCTTTTAATGAAAACGATGAGAATTTCATTTCCAGATGGAGCTTAAAAGAAAGATCCAACATTCATGCTGCTGCAGCTGTTCCAGTATCGAACCTGTAAAGATGAATGAATCATTTAGGAAAGAAAATAAAAAGTAGCCCTAATTTTAGAAAAATTCTTAAAAGAAATTAGTGTTACTTCACTAAATAAAACGTACAAAATAAAGCCATGCTCGAGACGTCTTCCTCGAGTCTCCCAGAATGAAAAAAAGCTGGAGCTGCGGTTCAGTTTCCACCTCAGATAGATGGCAACGATTTATCTCCATACAAGCCGGATCAAAAGCGACACATCAGGTCCATTTCCGTTTCTGCAGCCGTGCCGAGGTGTTTACGCGCCTTCTGGGACCATTTGAACTGGTGTAACGTTGCGGTGTCGCACCAGGCACGAGAGCAAATGCCTTCAAGAAGAAAAATAAATAAATAAAAACGTTAGCCAAATGTCACGCCTGCCCCTCCTTGCAGCTCTGTGACGTCTGATAAAAGTCAGTTTCCTTTAAGCTCAGGGTTGGCAGCGTTACCAACTGAGGCTCCACAGGCCAGGAAAGGCCCCTGAGGGGCTGGCATTTCAGAGCAGGGGGGCACGAGCTACATGGGACGCTGAAGCTCACCAAGTAGATAAAGCAAATGGTATTTGGTCATTTGAATTTAGGCAGCTGTGAGAAAAACGCCAAAATTTTGTTCGAAAAGATCCTCCAGAAACCTCCCCGAAAACATGACCATAAAACCTTTAAGTACCAACTAACTTTTTATTTACAAATGAATCAAAAGATGTCAACAGAAGACTTGTCCATCCAGCCTTACATGTTGGAGCCAGAGGAGAATGAAGACGAGGAAATTGCAGATCCGATTTGCGAAATTGTTTAGCCGGAAGTCTGTGACCTTGTTTACACAGTTACACAGCAAATACTGTGACATTATTGTTCAAAATAGATAATAGGGAATAGAGAAAACTGAAAGGATTTAAAAACATGACCTAAATAAAATATAAAGATATCTACGCAGCACAGAGAGAGCCTTAATTCAATTTTTTCCACACTCCAAGTAAAACTGCAAAAAACATAGTGTTCCCAGTATTGAAACCCAAAACTACAGTTAACCACTACTACACTCACTAAAGTCAGCTATTAGGCTTACTAAACTTAAGAGGGTAATCTGGCAATGATATCCAAAATACTGTAATATGCAGTATTATTGAATATTAATCAGAACCTTGATATTATCCCCTCGAGAGCAGGACAATACTTTGCTTTACCTTTGTGCAGATGTACGCATGCTTGTTTATTTTTGAGACATTAAGCTGGGTGTGAGGTCTTCCACATCGTTTTATCCACTGTARACACCACTCCAGTTGTGTTTTCAGCTTTCTTAGGAAAAAAACGAKACTCCACCAGACAAACTCTTGGGATACCTGCTGTCTGATTTACATAATCCATAGGCGCATCACTTCACCATCTTAGGGAATGTCGGGCCAAGCTTACATAGTCACAGATGCTAATGACGGATTAGGGTCTCGTCCATGAGGGCGTTACTTTGGTCAGTCATAGTGAAGAAAGAGCTGAGTCGAAAGGCAAAGCTCTTAATTTACTGGTCTGTCTTCGTCCCAACCCTCACCTATGGTCATGAGGCGTGGATCATGACCGAAAGAACGAGATCCCGAATACAAGCAGCCAAAATGAGCTTCCTTCAGGCTCAGCCGTAGAGATCCAGGGGGAGCTCCTCCACATCGAAACGAGTCMGTTGAGGTGGTTCGAGAATCCCACTTCCCACTGGAAGACCCACAACTTCCTAGAGGGATTATGTATCCTTTCTGGCCTGGGAATGCCTTGGGGTCCCCCAGGACAAGCTGGAAAGTGTCGCTGGGGAGAGGGATGCCTGGGTTTCTCTCCTGGACCTGTTGCCTCCGCGACCCAACTACGGATAAGTGGAAGAAGATGGAGATAGAGAAATTAATCATGAATAGCTGCTGTGTAAACGTAGCCTTAATAAAGGAGACAAATCTGAAGACATTTATTTCATCAAGACTTTGTTGTGGACTCTAAGTCCCCTCTGTGACACCTCCAGTCTTTGCCTCTGACATCATCAGCTCAGATGTTACCAGGCTACAAATGCACCAACTTACCTTTGTGCCAGTCCCTGAAGGTTTCAACCTCACCTCCCCCAGCTTCCAACTTTCCATTATTTTGTCAACCTTGTTGTTTGTTTGTTTGTTTGGGGGAGACATTTGACCAAAAATATTTATGTACTTTTTTTTATTTTTTGGCACCCGTTTTGTCCTGCGACAATATCATTTCCATTCCAGGAACAATAAAGTATTGTTTAATTTGGTTCAGACAACAATGCAGCCATCTGGATATGGAGAGTAGGAGAAGAGAGAGAACGCAGAGAACAAGTGATGCACGCGATGCCTTTTGTTTTGCAGCTCTGATTACCAAGGTTACCAGGCGAGACTCAGCAGCTGGAGCTGTCACAGCAGGAAAAAAGCTCTATATGATTCATAATTCATGCAGATAKCCTTTTTATTTTTATTTTTTCTAAAGATTTCTGCTGCACTCTGTGAGCATGCAAAGCTGGTGATAGCCCTGTAGTGTCAGTCCCCACCCCACCCCACCCCCCATCAGCATTCTGCTAACCCTACGTRCTAACGCCACTCACTTGGGGGCACAAGATGAGTTCTAGGTCACCGGAGGGTCTAGTCAAACATGCATGTGTGGACTTGCTCTCTGTCGGTCCCCACGGCTTGTTATCATCATCCATAATTGGATTCAAAGGGGACAAGTCGTGTTTCCACTCCCAGAAGTATCTGTTGTTGTCCTACTTCAGCTGAGAAGCGAGCTAAAGAAAATAAATTTGATTCAGCCGTTATTAYAGCATATTTAACGGTAATCACCGAGGCTTATTTAGCATTCCGGCAGCGGGTTCCGGTCAGAACGTAAACCCCCGGGGGGTCGGCCTGTGCATCCAGCATCAGCCCTGATGAGCCCTGCTGGTGAAACCGAGCCCATCAAGCTCAGCGCAATCACCTAAATCAGCCATCAGACTCGTCCGTCTGAAGGTCACCGCAGAGCGACGGCACGTCCAGGTCCTGCTGTCAGTTCCTTCAGATCACAAAGACATCCTTTTCTTCCAGTTCTGCCTTCCTCTCAGGATGGTTGCTATGGAAAGGTGCATCATGATGAAGGACTGTAGTCACCCCCCCCCCACACACACCACCACCACAATCAGCCATTTATGTATATGCAAAACATATGACTCAGCCCATTAGGTTATCTGCTTCATGTTTAACTGATAATTATACCCAAATGGTCGACTGGATTCTGTGGATGCTGCTGTGCCATCATTATGTGACAACCTCTGAMCAAAAATAAACAAAAACAAAAGGTCTTTTATTATTTTTAGGAGTATTATTATCTAATACATCCTCACTCCCAACTCGTCACATATTGACACTTTTCCAAGCTTCCCTCTGCATCTTATTTTTTGACGAGTCGGGTAACCCCTTCGCGTCAGTTATTGAGGTACCAGGTATTTCCGGGTTCCCTCGACATGTCTAGGGTTAATATTAGGTAATTTTAGGGTTTGGGACACGTAGTTGACGTGAATTTCTTACACCTTCTAAAAATGTTTAATTTTAGGGATCAGGGTTGATGGTTAATTTTAGGTACTAGGGTCAGGGACAGGATGTCTAGAGTGAATAAAGGTAATTTTAGGTTTGGGACGGTTCGTTTTTGTGCATTTTCTACACTTTCAGAAATTATGACAACAGATTCCACCCCATCTTGTTAATAACTGACGCTAGCAGGGTACCAGACGCTTCGAATTCGGACGCAGAGGGAACCTTGGAAAAGCGTAAATATGTGACGAGTTGGGTGTGAGAATGGGCTGTATTATCAGGATTGTGCAACCTTTGGGTAAATTCCCTCTTGTTCCGTTTCCAGGCTGAAGACGAAGAAGAGGAGGACCAGCCTCTGAGCCTGTCCTGGCCTGAATCCAACCGCAAGCGCTTCACCTACCTCTTCATCATGCCCGTTGTCCTGCCCCTGTGGCTAACGCTGCCCGACGTCAGGAAAACGGTGGGAGGCATTGCATTCTTGATCAAGCACTTTCTGACTTCTACGCCTAGTCGTTAAATGTCCAACACTCTGCCTTTCTTCCACTTTCAGTCGTCAAAGAAGTTCTTCCCCATCACGTTCCTGGGTGCCATCTGCTGGATTGCAGGATTCTCCTACTTGATGGTGTGGTGGGCTCACCAGGTAAATGGAAATCCTAATAGTTGTTTTCTCTCTAACAGGTTATTTACTCTGAAGCTGACTCCCTTTGTTTTCTTCCTGCAGGTTGGAGAGACCATTGGGATTACAGAAGAGATTATGGGTCTGACTATATTAGCAGCTGGAACCTCCATCCCCGACCTCATCACCAGTGTGATAGTTGCACGCAAAGGACTGGGTGATATGGCTGTTTCCAGCTCCGTGGGCTCCAACATCTTTGACATTACTGTTGGGTACGTCAAAGTCTTCATGTAGATTTTATTTAAAGAAAAACAAACAGATTAAACTCACTCACTGAGCTCTAAAGGCACTAAAAACCATACTGAGGAAAAATAATAATAATCGAAAAACAGATCTAAATCGGTATATATTTGTTTTAAATGTGCTACAAAAGATTAAATCAGAAATGTGATTCATGCTGGCAAAATGACTCAGAATGAGACTGCAGTTCCAAGGGCGAAGCCATGGGAGGGTGGGGAGTGCGGAGG